TCCTCCGCCCGCATTGCTTGGATGGTACCTGTCGGATATTGTGTGCTTGTAACTGTTGCATTATTGTTAATTATTATTATTACTAGTATGAATAAAATTATTTTCCAAGCTATCCAAATGATTGAATATCTACCAAACAAAAGCCTGTAATATGCCAAATATCGACGACCTATACCCTCTTTCGTCGGCTGATTTGCACCCACGTACAACAGCCTCTTATCGGCTGCAAGCAGCCGCTCGAGACTGCTCTAGAACGGCTGGTTTTCCAGCTAATCGGCCTAAAAGTAGCCGAAAAATCCCTAACAAACTTGGGATGAATTTAGCCGTTGCACCGGCTGCGGTCGCCCTGTGACGTGCTGAGATCATCCTCTTACCACACTTCTAGCATCCCTTAGCGCAGACGCTTATGGGATGATTTCTAGCCCATTCCGGGGACATAGTGTAGTAGGCGCGGAGTCGAAGGATGAAGCGCGCAGTGAGCATCCCCGATAGTCTATCGTCGTACTTCAGCGAGACTCTGTGAGAGAAGGAGGCGCACTCACGGCAATGTAATGGCGTTTAGGAGGCGCTGGAAGAACGCTGCCGGAGCGCGGAAGTTGAGAACGGTCCCACCAATGGTGAAGATAGATATCAACGTGAAGTACAAGATCCCTTCGTGGTAGTGGACCATCAGCGACAAAACGGACAGAGCGAGGTGATACTAGGATACCTACCTTGTTCGGCAACTAAATAACTGAGCGTCTCTCTGTTCATTGAGACCGGGAATGATCCAAATTGGCGCAGGATCAGCACGCTCTGGAAGACCGTGATCGTCGTGACGAGAAACTCGAACACGCAGACCATGATGGAGAGTAGTGGGGTGACACTGTGTTTAGTAGTCAGAGTACGTAACGACAGTAGAAGCTGGACGGCGCACATCTTCATGGGATCTGGAGCCTCACATTGGAGTCCAGGTACGTGCAGCTACATTGGGCGTAACTATGTAAGCGGATCAATCGGTGCAGAACGAGTCTTGCTTACAATGTCCAGGATGAAACATGTCAACGCAATGGCCAGCAAAGAGAAGAGGATGATCCTATTTTTGGCGCACACGACATACGCCCGTATCAGCATTGTGACTAATGAAGCAGCCTAAATGAGTACACCCAGACAAGACGAGATGAGTACACTTACATATAATGGCTGCTCGTCCCAGCACACTGACTGCACCGACAACCTTATACACCACATCACAGGTTTCATCATCACCCAAATGATGAGAAATTGCCAGGAGATATAATACGTTGGCCAGCAACGCATATCGACAGAGGACGTATAAGATGACCAGTATGACCCGCTTCTTTCCCCTCCAGATGTATCTGACTTCTCGCGGAAATGTCAGTGCGTAGTCGTAGTATAGCAGAGCTGACGGCATAATGAGTAGGCACATCGGACCGACAATGATGAGGAAGCGCACCCAGGCTAGCCCATTGTATGGCGAATTGTAAGAAGCTGGGGAGGATTGATCAACTAGACGTGCGAATGAACCAAGGTAAAACCTCACTGAGTCTCGGCAGTAGATGCCATGAAGGTCGGGGGAGAGAGACGATCTCTGAGCTAAAGGATCAGCGATTCACATTATGTCCATCGCCCACAATGTTGGGCGAGAGGTTGAAACAGATCCGCCACTGTTCGAAGATCGCACGCCTCTCGCTGGCTTTACACCGCGGCGAACGAGACATGATGCATGAGATCGCATAATACCTAGACGCTGGTTGCATGGCTGTTGCCTATACAAATGCGAATGTCGGGTCAGTCGATGGCCACAGCCGGCCTTTGACGATAAGATTGACGGATCTGTAATCGCTGACAACATATCGGAACAGGCGTGGCGATGGCCCCTGTGAGACAGGATGTTGGAAGCCATGATATTTAGACACATGCGCTGGAAAGTGATGAGAGACAGCTATTTATTGCCATGATGCGAAGCAAGTAGACTATACAAGACCCGACGCACGTTCCAACCCGTGTATGCTTTCAGGCCGATTGCCATATGATGTGATCGACGGCATCTCGAACGTATCCCTCACAAGTAGCCCCGATGTTGAGTGGTGCTGCCTTTCTCTACACGAGAGTGGTAGCGTAGTTAATTCGCTGCCAAAGCTGGTGCCCTCACTAGTATAAGGGCCGACGGCAAAACGCAAACCGTGGGCCGAATGTCGTCTCTGGCGTGCGTTCGCGACCTGCGCGACCGTCAACACAGGATCCTCCCCAAATTCGGTGAATATCGTGTGCATGTGTTGATCCCCGTCTGTTGCGATCTCGAAAGTGGAGATAGGGACGGCGAGATCCACGGAGCCGTTCCCCATCCTGCGCCCATGATAGGCGCGGAGGCGCAGGATGAAACGCGCGGTGAGTAGACCAGATAATCTGGAAAGTTGGGTTTGATGGGTGCGTAGATTACGAGCCCCGTTCCACTCACGGCAAGGTCAAAGCGTTCAAAAGGCGCTGTATGAAAGCTGTAGGCGCGCGAAAGTTGAGGATCGTGGTTCCAGTAGTGAAGATCGAGATAAAGGCGAAGTATAATACATCTGCACCAGCGCGTGAGCAGTGCGATCAGCCGCATAGCTGAATGAACACATACCCTGTTCGACAACAAGATAGCTGAATGTATCCCGAGTCATCCACAGTGGCGCGCCGCTCAATCGAAGGGCTTGCATGCTTCGGAAGAATATGATTACTGCAGCGAAGAACTCGAAAACGCAGATCAGTATGGACAACAGTCTTTCCACTCTGGAGGGGTGCTATTAGCAAGTTGAAGACAGAAGACGGGAGCATCGTCGTACATCTTGATCGAGGATGAGCCTGAACATCTGAGTCCGGGAACGTGCATCTATATGCTGCGTCAGGGGGCTTCCATAAACAGAACATAGATCCTATGGCTTACCACATCAAGAACGACGCACGTTGCCGCGATTGCGCCCAGACCTCCAAGGATGATCTTGTTTCTGGAGCACACAACATATACCCGGGCTAGAAAGGTGACTATGATGCTTAATGAGCGACGCCATCCCAATACCAGCGATATTGTATGTGTCTATACCCGGACTCACATATGATTGCTCCGCGTCCCAGCACGCTCATCACACCGAGCGCCTTATATGCAGCATCGCAAGCACTAGGTCCACCGAACTTGTCGGATATAGCAAGAAGGTATAGCACGTTGGCCAACAGAGCGTATCGGCAGCAGATGTACAAGAAGACGAGTAATCTGCGCTTGCTTCCTCGCCAGATATACTTGACTTCGTGTGGGAAAGTCAAGGCATAGTCGTAGTAGAGTAGAGCTAGCGATATTTCGTCAGAATCGGCTATGGGGTACATCGAGAACATAAACGCACCGATGCTAGCCCATTGTATTGCGAACCGAAGGAATCTGGATAGGGCGGTGAGATGGATGGTATGGAGTAGCACACGCGAAGATCTTACTGGGCTTCGGATGCAGGCGCCATACACGGGAGGGAAGGCAGATGCAGGCAAAAGAACTAGCCGGCTATATACGACGCAGCATCTACGAAGCCCGGAAGGGCGCTAGAATGATGCCAGCCCCATGCGTATGCCAGCTTCTCCCGCTCACACATCTCCCGGATACCGCGGAAGTATATCGGGATGAGTATCCTATGTGCGAGTGCGACGCGAGTATACATGTGCCGCATTGGGACCGGTAGACGCGGGACTGCCACCGCATCGGGGCATGAGACCGCCGCGCAAGAAACCCGAGCGCTTCACGCAGGTAGCGGTGTACGTGGGGACATTCGGTTATCCATTCCTTGCGCTGTAACCACGGAGCATCAGATTTCGATCCTCATGCACGACCAGGCCACACACCAGTCTTCCTTTGTCACCTCATTGCATATGTACTGTCCAAGGGTATGGCCTCTGGCAGTTGCAGCTCAATGCGGCAAGCACGGCAACAGGGTCCCGTCCGGCGCTCATCTTAGCGCTGTCAACACGAAACACCGAAGATACACATGCGATCCTTTGCAGGGTCTATGGGGTGCGTAACCGAACTCGCTCGGCCTTCTACGATAGCTACCGTATACGCAGGGCGGAGGCGTAAGGGGGTGAGCAAAGTTATGTGATTTGATGGTGGACGCGTCTGTCTGAGACACGGGCGCGTTCCCCGCGTCGACGCGTCGCGCGCTCACACGCGCAAGCGCAGCCAACGCGTCGCGGTCATGTCACCCCTTGCCTTCTGACCACCAACATCTCTATAGCCGAGTGTGGCGCATTGCTAACCCGCTTCGATCCATGACAATCTAAACATCTCCTGACCGCATACTAAGCACAAACTATGGCTGATACACCGGGCGCGGGGCCGTCTCGTAGAGTCCGGCCCACTGCCGCAGACTATCTCACAGATGACGAAGGTGAAGACATGGAGGGGGATGAGCCCATGAATGTAGACCCCGAGCCGATGGATGTTGATCATGATTGGAATGCTCCCATCGTAAGTATTAAGTAGAGGGTGTCGAGCCCAGGAATACGAGCAGGACATGAACGCCACTCCGTTTGTAGCCCGGCGTCGCAGATGGAGCTCAACCACAACACAATGCCCCGCAGAAAGAGCAGGACCAGCCCCCACCTCGTAAACGTAATATTCCGTGTCTTCTATCGTTTGGTTCTTTATCTGACCGGGGTCTCTTGTAGACAAAAAGTACCATCGGCAGCCTGGCGAAAAGGCCGCGGTCCTCGAAGACGAGAACCTTAAGTTGGAAGGCGAGGAGGAGTCGGAGGACGGCGCACTACCTCTGCGCATACTCACAAACTTCGTGATCGTGGAGCAGGACGAGAAGCGCATGCGGCCCATTGATCCTGAAAAGAATATCGTGCTGGAGGCAATCGGATATGCGACTCGCGCTGTTGAACCTGACGAAGATGCCGGGCAAGAAGACGAAGGCCAAGATGACGATGGTCCACTGGGTGTGCGTATACGTACAACACGCTTGATATCAACTAGCTGCGATTACTTGAACACAAGCAACATGTATGCTCATACCCATCGCTCCTCACGCACACTTACCCAATACATCTCCAGAGAAATCACTGTCAGGACCAAACACGCCTCTTACATTCTGAGAACACCTGACGAGCAGTATCGGGAAGTGTTTGCCGAACGAATGCGCCTCATCAACCTCACTGCTCTACTGCTGAGCCTTGGCCACGACCCAATGAACGCGCCCGAGGTGGCATCTCTGGACGAGTTCAAGGAGAAAGCCAGATATCTGGTTCTCGACGGCAAAGCCTGCACCAACTTGCACATCAAATCTGCTGTACGTATTGCCATGCGCTATTATTTGAGTCTCTTCTGACACCGCTATACTGTAGGCTTATCAGATCAAGAAGCTCTTGCCGCGGCTCGAAGTCACAGAAGAGGTCCGCTTGGCCATTCGTAACCATCCCATCATCATCGAAGCTCTTCGCCTTCTCGATTATCCCCACGTCGGTTTCCAAGAGTCTGTACCCATCGAGCACCGCCGCCTCCTGCCTCCCCGCCTCGAAAAGCTCACTTTGACATACGACCCAAACGATCCGCACGATCTCACGCGCCTCAAGATAGACAAGGACGTGATGAAGCCTCACAATCTGACCCAGAATATAGTCCTGCCACGCATAGGTCGACTCACGAAGGGATGGACGCACGAGCGCCTACGGCTTTTGGGTGGCGAGCTGGGGCCAAGGAGACGTCAGTGGGATAAGGTTTTGTACCGCCAGGACCTCGAAGCGGCCATACAGTGTGCAGGGAAGGCTCCTAAGGCAAAAGTGTTGGCCAACGTAGACGGCAAGTTGATCAAGCCGGACAGAAGACCGAGCGCAAAGTGGAGGCAACCCTTCCGTGTACATGGAGTGGTCTACAATGTACGTACCAGCCATACTTGGAAATGCCGCGGTATCTCATACTCCCTTGATAGGTGGGTGACGCAGTTCTATTCCCCATCGACAAGGATCTGCCAAAAGAGCTACCGGAGGACGCGCGAATAGAACACTACTTCCGGTAAGCACTCTCTGTGCCGATCATTGGAGGATCAACTTCTGACATACTTGCTAGGTTTGGCAAGATACTCTACGTGGACATCAAGGAGGGCGAGTCTGTCCACATCATGTGGTACGATCACAGCAGTCGTACCGCCTTGGGTCTCCCACCCGCCTCGGATGAGCGCGAGCTGATGCTCACATCCCGATGCGAGAGCGTCTGGGCCCGCGAACTGTGCGGCGTCGTACGCGTTCTTGAACCTGGCACTGGACTGGAACTCAAGGATGGCATCGTGTCGGACCAGATCGACGCGCACTACTTCTGCCGGCTGTCTTACGATCGATCACGGCCCTCATTCGCGGACCTTGCCCCGCTGCCTGAACTCGTTTCGAGCGAGAATGACCCACGAGGGTGTCCCACCTGTATATGTGATGAGGAGGAGGACATCCAAGGGGATCCACGATACTCCGAACCCCGCGGTGTACCTACTGTGTTCTACAAAGGAGAGCAATTCCACAAGGGCGACAACATCCTCTTCACCAGCGGCGTCGAAGGTGAGATCCCTGGTCCACCTGGAGTCGGCAGTCTCGGTCGCATCGTGAAGTGGGAGAAGACGGATAGAGGGCCGGTCGCTCAGGTCGCACAGTTCGTGAGGCAGGGACACTGCGAGTTCGAGGATGCAGGGTTGGGAGACTTGGATGTTGACGGTGTCAAGGACCCCGTATGCAACTTTTCCTTCCACCGCCGATCTTGATGCTGATGGCATGGGCTGTAGCGTCAACTCTTCAGCACGACCTACGTGATCTCCGTCTCAGCAGCTCGCATAGTCCGCAAGATCTACGTTCGACGTGTCGCCCATTCCAGCTACATCTGGACGCCAGCCATGGGCGACATCAAGAACTGGCTGGACGCCTCCCCGGACCACTTCATAGTCAAATGGCACTTTGAGAGCCTCGAGCCTACTGCTGATGGCAGTCCGCCGAAGCTGAGGTGGTACTCGGAGAAGCGGCTCATGGAGGACTTGAGCCACGACGAGCGTGCGGAGATGGTCTGCAAGCCGTGCAGCAAGGCTAAGAGAAGGGAATATAAGCTTAGGAGCAGGTTTGCGGAGAGAAGGGAGCCGGTGAAGATACTGGATCTGTGCTCGGGGACGGGTGCATTCAGTATGGGTATCAAGGAGGGGATGGGGTGTAGAGCAGAGATCAGGTATGCGGTGGAGATCTCACCGTCTGCGATGGCATCGTTCAAGTACGTATCGACCAGCCCATCTTCACTGGATGGCATGTCTCATTGATTATGAACAGGAAGTATTCACCTGGGACGACGGCGTTCAATACCTGTATCAACACCTTTGGCGATTATATGTACAAGTACAACACCGGTACACTCGATCCGAATGAGGAGTGGCAGAATCTCGACGGTACCGCATTCGCCGTCCCGCCTGCTCCCGGTGAAATCGACGCTATCGTCGTTGGATTGCCGTGGTATGTCATGACATTATCCCCTAACTACAATTCGTGGAGTCAGCCTGCTAACAAGTACATACATAGTCAACCACACTCTATCATGAACCGCTTCAAGCACGACGACGACGCGAAGAGCAACCTCGTCTTCACGGTCCTATCCATCATCGAACACCTCCAGCCGAAGCACATATTCTTCGAGAACGTTAGAGGGATCATGTCATTTGCGTTAGCGCCTACGACGAACGTGATCCCTGAGGGTCTCAAGCATACAGGATTGAACTTTCTGTGCGCGTGCCTCGCAGCTCTCGGGTATGTCGCACACAACATTCATGTCTCTGACCGTATCTCACGACCACATCACCTTTTAGATACCAGTTCTCTTTCCAGCTCATGAATGCGGCGGGACATGGGACTCCGCAGCACCGTATACGTTGGTTCCTAATGGCAGCCAAGATCGGCGAGCCGTTGCCCAAGTTCCCCTTGCCGACACACTTTTACCCCGATGCAGGCAAAGACGCGTCGTCGTTGTCTTTGCTCGTTCATCCTGGCTCGAAGGACCCTGCGAGACCATTGAAGCCGCGCAAAGGAGAGTATTTGTACTCGCATGTCAGTGTGCGGGATGCGATTGAGGATCTGTGGGCGTTCGACATGTGGGTGCCACAGCATCGACCGTATCGCGTCTCACGCTGACTTCGTCCCTGCAGGACCAACCCCGGCACCATAGCTCGTCAACACAACATCTCCCTCCCCTCCGAAACCCACCTCGACCCCGAACTGCGCCGCCTCCGCACGCACCGCTGCCGAGCGGACTGGAACCCCGGCGCGGACGAAAACGACGATGTGTTGTACCTCTGTTGTCCTCGGGACGACTACCTCTCTCAAGCGCTCAACCGGCTCCAGCTCGAGGCGCGCGTGGATCCGAGTGGTGAGGTTAGGCCCAGTGCGCTAGAGTTGCAGCATTTTACGAAGTTTCTGGGCGAGGAGCACAGTGAGTTGTATGTTGTTCTTTCCCCTCATTCGTTGTGCTTTGCCTTCGGTATTGAATCGTATGATAGTATCTGCAACATCCCGATGAACGAAAGGTCCAAACGGAACTACCTTGGGCTACCAAACGGCTTTCAGTCCCGCTCGCGCATGCTGCACGACGCGACATCGTCCAACGCACGGCGCGGGCATAAGGGGAACTACTTTGCGCGCGCGGATAAGGACGGGGTGTTCCAGACTACTGTGACGAATATCGGGCCAGCGGCTACGCAGAGCAAGTGTCTGCATCCTTGGGTACGTCTTGAGCTATGAGTAGGGGTAGCGTGGCTCATGGGAACCTGACAGGCGTATCGGGTATTCACCGTGAGGGAGCTTGCGAGGTCGCAGGGGTTCCCAGACCGGTACAAGTTCGTTGCGCTCAATAACGACATTGTCACTGTGAGTGCCATTTGGTATAGACTTCCTCAGTGCTTAATTACTGACTCCGACGGTAGATGCATCGGCAGATCGGTAACGCGGTCCCATGGCCGATCGGACGCGCTCTTGGGCGCGAGTACGGAGAGGTGCTGTTCAGGCAATGGTGTAAGGAGAACGGCCATAAGATCTAGTTATATCTGACATGTGGCATCACTATACTTGATTTCTCCTGCTGTATCATAGTCTTGTCTTGTATCTCGTATGATGCCATTGCTCGAATTTGTGAGGCCGCGAGAGACCTAGCTGGGGTTAAGGTTAGGCGTGGCGCGTTTGATACGATCAATTGATCGAGTCGCGCGAGCTTACGCGTCGAGGTCGACGCGTCGCGTCTCGAACACGACCCTCTCCTCTCACCACATCATGGACGCGCAACCCTCTACATCCTCAGGCGCGATAGACCAACGGAGGCAAGATGCGCTCAAGGCGTACCGCGAGGTTTGACAGCTCTCATTATACTGCCTGGTCAGGAAGTATATTGATAATAAACACAGAAAATGCGGAGCCACGAGAACTCGAGCGAGAACTTGAAGCAGTGTACGTGAATTTATATGAGATTTGGAATGCAATGCTGATAGGTGGAATAGTGAGGTTCTCGTTGAAGGATCTGGAGAAGGATTATGAGAAGACAGAGGACGACATCAAGGCCGTACAGTCTGTAGGCCAGATCATTGGCGAAGTCATGAAACAGCTCGACACCGACCGTTGTGCGTACCCATTATATTACAAGAGGGCTTATACTGAACTCTATTACCAGTCATCGTGAAAGCCTCTTCCGGACCGCGCTATGTCGTCTCGTACCGCCCCGCTCTACCTGCGTCGAAACTGAAGAACGGGACGCGTGTGAGTCTGGATATGACGACGCTGACGATCATGAGGATATTGCCACGCGAGGTCGATCCGATGGTGTACAAGATGAGCTTGGAGGACCCGGGAGGGGCGTCGTTTGCCGGTATCGGCGGGCTGGGCGAGCAGGTGCGCGAGTTGCGCGAGGTGTGTTACCTGTGATATCCAGTTGGAAGAGAATGCTTGAATATTGAATATTGCTGCAAACAGGTTATCGAGCTACCGCTACATAACCCGGAACTCTTCACCCGCGTAGGGATCAAACCACCGAAGGGTGTCCTCCTCTACGGTCCCCCAGGAACCGGCAAGACCCTCCTCGCGCGCGCCGTCGCAGCCACCTTACAAACGAACTTCCTCAAAGTCGTCTCTTCGGCCATCGTGGACAAGTACATCGGCGAGTCCGCGAGGGTGGTGAGGGAGATGTTCGGGTATGCGAGGGAGCATGAGCCCTGTGTGATTTTTATGGATGAGATTGATGCGATTGGTGGGAGGAGGTTTAGTGAAGGCACGAGCGCGGATCGTGAGATTCAGAGGACGCTTATGGAGGTGAGAATGTCTTGTCGATGCTGTGAGGAGTGCACAAGGCTGATGTTGTGGCTAGTTGTTGAACCAAATGGACGGCTTCGACTCGCTCGGTCGCACAAAGCTCATCATGGCGACCAATCGTCCCGACACACTCGACCCCGCCCTCCTCCGTCCTGGCCGTCTGGACCGCAAGATTGAAGTCCCACTACCAAACGAGCAAGCACGCCTCGAAATCCTCAAGATCCACGCCGCGCCCGTCAACAAGCACGGCGATATTGACTATGAGGCCGTCGTTAAGCTCAGCGATAGCTTCAACGGCGCGGACTTGAGGAACGTCATCACGGAGGCGGGTATGTTTGCTATCAGGGACGAGAGGGAGTACATCCAACAGGAGGATCTGATGAAGGCGGCAAGGAAGGTCGGGGAGGCGAAGAAGCACGAGAGTGAGTACCCGACTCTCTCGAGATCGTTTCGAGTGCTGATTCCGTGCGTTTACAGCAAAGCTGGAGTACACGGCATAGCCGTCTTAGGCGCTGGGATGGTTTTGTCTTGTTGTACTATAGATTCGCAATATCATATACCTCTAAGACTCGATTGATACGGGCGGCTCCAACGCGCTTGAACACGGCATGCACCGTTCTAAATACAGAAAGTCGCCACATCAAAGCATCCCCATATATCACTCCCCGCATTTGCTGTATCTTCCCCTCTCTAAACGCTCACCTCCACTGGGTTCCTCTGCACGCCCGAATCATACGATATGTAGTTTGGACGAGATAAGATCCGGGAATGGACCACGCGGTGATTGCCGGAGATGTAATGACGACAGGCGGGCAACCAAGAGGGCAAGGTGGCAAGTTCTGGCCGCGAGCAGTGCACCACGAACCACCACCACGACCATCATGGCCTCGCTCATCACGACGGTCAGAAATAGTGCGCGCCTAATCCTTACTCACACGGTATATGGTGGTGCTGATGCAGGGTGTATAGAGTTCTTAAACGCCATCCGTTCTGTGAATCCGCCGCAGAAGTGGAAGATCCTGGTCGTGGACGAGCACTCGCAGGCGCTGCTTAACCATGTACTGAAACAGTTTGATATTTTGGAAGAGAATGTCACTCGTAGGTCTTCTTCCTTACTGTGAGCTGTACAAACACTGACTGGTGTGGTAACTAGTCATCGAGTCGATCACGAACAACCGCGAGCCTCAACCGGGCTTCGACGCGATCTACATGGTGATGCCCACGAACCAGAACGTGGACAGGATAATCCGCGATTTTGCGAACGGGAGACAGCAGTACGCCGGCGCGTGGCTGTTCTTCATCGACGGTGCGTTACCATGTATGATCACGCGAGTGCATTGAAGTTGACGTTGTTATGGGCAGGAATGGACGAGCAGCTGTTCGAACGGTTGACGGCGTCGCCAGCTGAGCCATTCTTGAGGGAATGCCGAGAGCTATTCATCAATTTCTGGGGTGCGTGCATAGTTTGGTACCTGTTGGATAGATAGATGTTAATGATGACTATAGCGATAGAGACACGGGCGTACTCGCTCAAGATGCCAGAGCAGTTCTTCAACTTCTTCGCCCCACCACGCAACGACGGCAGTGCGAAAGGCGTGCGACACAGACTGGAAGAGGACATTAAATTCATCGCCAAATCCGTGCGTCTCTATAACACCACATCGTGTCTTGGTTCATATACTAATATATCTATAGATCGCCAACGTCTGCATAACGCTGAACGAGTTCCCCTACATCCGGTACTACCTCCCCTCGCACCACCCGCCCCTCGGCCCGCTCAAACCACACGAAACGACCCGCACCGCCCCCGCGCCGACAGAAACAGCGACCCGCTGGCGGACGAACCTCGCACGCGGCGATCAAGCACGACAATACGAACAAAGCGACTCTGAGTTCCTCCCACGGTTACTGGCTTTCGAAGTGCAGAGGACACTGGAAGAGCACAAGAAGCTCAACTCTGATTTCCCTGTGAAGGAGGCCGGGAGGACGAGGGCGACGCTCGTGATCACCGATCGGTCGATGGACACGATCGCGCCGTTCGTGCATGAGTTTACGTATCAGGCTATGGTCAACGACGTGTTGCCCATCGAGGACGGGACAAAGTACAAGTGCGTTTATTGTATTCTCGTGGGGCGCGGGGCTTGTTGAACTCATACTAGATCAGGTACAAGTTCCAGACGGGCGCGGGGACGTCGGAGGATAAGGTCGCCGTGCTGAGCGATGCGGATAATGTGTGGACGGACGTCAGGCATATGCATATGCGGGAGGCTATCGATAAGCTTATGGCGGACTTCAACAAGTTCATGCAGGATAATGGTGTGTTCAAGGGGTGCGTGATTGTTTCTTGACATCTGCGGCCTGTAGACTGATGGGGCACAGGGAGGGCGCAGCGAGCTTGAACGATATGAAGGACATGCTTGCGAGTTTACCGCAGTATCAGGAGCAGCGAGAGAAAGTGCGTTATTCTCATTGTGTACATGGCGACGGTTATTGACCTTGCTCCAGTTCTCGCTGCATCTGAATATGGCGCAAGAGTCCATGGGTCTGTTCGAGAAGGACAAGCTGCCCGTCGTCGCTACAGTCGAACAGAACTGCGCAACGGGCCTCACAGCCGAAGGCAAGACGCCCAAACACCTCGTCGAGGAGATGGTCCCCCTCCTCGACTCGCGCGACGTCGTGTACGCCCACCCTCCTCTCAGACACTCTCACCACAGCTAATCGACCCTTACCCCGTAGCAATGCGAACAAAGTGCGCATCATCGCGCTCTACATCCAATACCGCGACGGCGTCCCCGAAGAAGACAAACGACGGCTCTACCAGCACGCTCGCCTAACCCTCGCCGAGCAAGACGCCGTGAACGCCCTCGCCTACCTCGGCGCGCGCATCACGCGCGGACCCACCGACAAAGACATCCGCCGCAAACTGCGCGCCAAACCCGCGCAAGACGACGAGTACGATCTATCCCGCTTCAAACCCTTACTCCGCACCGTCCTTGAAGACGCCGCCAACAACAAGCTTGATCAATCGGTCTTCCCATATGTTAAGGACTTCCCGACCGTCGCGCCCGTGGCTGCGGCGAGCAGTTTGAGTTTACGGAGTGGCGGAGGCGGGAGCGGCGCGAGCAGTCCTGCGCCTACGAGTTTGAGGAGTCAGAAGCCGGCTTGGCATCGAGCTGCGAAGCCGGGGGGCGCGGTGCAGGAGAATAGGCCGCGGATGTTGGTGTTCGTTGCGGGCGGGATGACGTATAGCGAGATGAGGGAGGCGTATTTGTTGAGTAATAGTCTGGGGAAGGACATCTTCATCGGTGCGTTTCCTGCCTCTCTTTCATTGTGAACTATGGGCTGATGCAGTGAATAGGCTCGACGCATACGACCACACCACGCCAATTCGTCGACGACCTCAAAGTCCTCGAAATCGCAGGCACCGGATCCCGCGCCGCACCAAACGGCCTCAAACCGCCCGCGCCCAACGCGCCCAGACCATACCAAGAAACCTACGACGAGCGGTACTATACCCGCGACGCCCCACCACCCGTACGCGTCGCGCCGCCCATGCAAAGCGCGAAATCCAACCAGTCGAGCCGGAGTACGGGCGGGATGAGGCCGCCCGCTAGTCCGCAGGCGCCGCCGAGTCTGAGCGGGAGCACGTTGAGCGTGAACTCGTATTCGGGAAGTGGCAGCGGGAGTGGTGGCGGGAAGGAGAAGGAGAAGAAGAAGCATAGGTTTTTGGGGAAGTGGTGATCTGGCTGGGAGTGTGATTGGTGGATATACCCTCGGAATGGATGTTGGACGGTCTGGGGTGCATGGACGGTTTCCGGTAGATACCGATACATATGCATAGTAGTCTTTTCGCAAACTAGGACGGAGTTTTGTCATTCTTTACATGCATGATCATGACGGGCCCGACATCCGCAGCAATCAAAGTCACTGAATACACAGATGTCTACAGTGAAGGTCTGAGATAAGGTCAAGTGGTATATCTCCAATGCACATCCCGATCCCCAAGCCTAATCCTCTCCTCCTCACTAACAACTCCACTATACGGCCCCTTTACATCACCCTCACTCTCCCGAATCGCCGTCTCCCTCCTCCTATTCTCCCTCTCCATCCACCACCAAAGCACACCCGCAACAACCACCGCAAACACCACGTACCCAATCGTAACGATATGTGGCTTCCGATAATGGTGCGCGCTCCATTCGGGTCGGTAGATCAGTACGCCGGTCACAGCGCCCAGATCGCCGATGGTGATCTGCATTGCGACTGCGACAGCACGTTTGGTTTGGCCCGAGACGTTCTCGGAGGGCCAGCTCAGGAGGAGAGCGTTGCCGGTGTAAACGCCTAAGGAGGCGAGGAGAACGCCGACGTATTGAGGACCTGCGTGGGAGGTGGTCGCTAGGATGATGTAGCCTGCGTGGTGAGAGCGATGTGAGATTGGCTTATTAGGCGCGCGCGAGGCGAGGAAGGAGCGCGCACCGATGATGGCGATGACGCCGGAGCCGATGATGAAGATGGCGCGGCGGCCGGTTTTGGCGGCGAGCCAGGCGCCGAAGGCGATGCCCATGGCGGCGAGAGCGTTTGGTGGAACGGTCATCCTAGAGAAGTAAACGTTGAGTTCTGAAGAGTAGGATGACTGGTATTGAAGGACGTACAGTTGCGCTTTCCAGGTTGCGAATCCGAGTGCGGCGATGATCGTGGGCTACAAGGCTCATCAGGCTCTCAATCAGACTCGTAGCCCATTGTCAACGCACCGTGAAAAGACTGAGGGTATACAGCGCGAAAGCATATCCGTGGAAGAGGAAGCAGTAGCCATAGACCAGCGGATCGGTAAACGCTTGTCGCACGCCGTGCCACGAGAACCTCTCCTGCTTGCCCGCGTCCGAGTCTGACGCGAGACGTGCCAACAGGCGCGCACGCTCATCTTCAGTCAGGAACGTGGCGCGGTCGGACCAGGTGGGGACCCAGAAGTACGCGGCGAAGGAGAATACGATGGTGATCAGGCCTTCGAGGATGAAGATCCTATATGGCAGTGTATGAATATTGGTCCTTGGAGGAAGGTGCGTTGACAGCGTACCATTGCCACCCGCGCAGACCGGATACACCGTCCATGAGACCTATGCAGTACGCTAGGACACCTCCGAAGGCTCCTGCTAGTGCCGCACCGCCAAAGAAGAGCGCCACGCGCCAGTGCCGTTCGCGTCTCAGGTAATACACGGAGAAGACGTAGACGACGCCGGGAAAGAGGCCGGCTTCGGTTGCGCCCAATACTGTGAAGAGCGTCAGCCATGGTCAACCAGGCTAAAAGGAAGCGGAACGCACAGTATCGTATACCGAACAGGCTGCCTTGAGTCTTGACGAAGCCCTGGCACATCGACACGATGCCCCAAACCAAGGTGAGCGTTGGCAGCCAGACTTGCGGATTCAGTCGCTTCAGACTGTCAAGCTCATGTTGAGCTGTAGTGCACATCAACAGGGGGTCTCAAAACCCTTACATGATCTAGAAGCGGTGGTCAATCAAGTGCTTGCAGGTATACGGTACTGCAGAGAGTGGCGCACGTTTGCTGGGACCTCGAAGGTCACGTAGGCGATGAAGTACAACGCCAGTGAGGTATTGTATGCCGGGTTGGAGACATGTATGTCCTGCACTATAGTTCAGAGCTATAGTCCGGTAGCATTTGGGCGACGGCAAGCGCACAGTTGTCAATCCGTCAATCTTTGCGTTCCCGACGTTCGATCGGTCCAAAAAGCTGAGGAGGTACAGGAGAGTGAGGATCGGCATCAATCTGTAGCGCAGTGAGTACAGTGCACACAGGTACAATTGTATAGATACGCACCGCCAGTCGACCTTCCTCATGAGCTTGCGATCCTCCGGCGTATCATACTCGTCATACAGCTTCAGCGACGCATCGGACGACGAAGCAGCGCGCTCCGCCTTCTCGTTGACGTCTTCGCTCTCAGCCATTGCGACTCGGACGAGTCTGAGAACAGCAAGGTCCAGTGTGTACAGATAGCGCGTCCGGTACATATATCATGTCGTACCGGCCATGTCGCCATTGATGGCAGAAATGAGCAGGGCTGGAAGTGTGCGAGTTGTGGCTCCGGAAGAAGCATGATACAGGCGCGCGCTCGCCGCAATGGGAGTGTCCGAGGGAGACCGGAAGTAGGCATGTACTATGGCCTCATCTGACATGATCTTCGGTGCGGCGTCATGCGTGAGTTCTACCCTCGAGGCGAGCACTTATCCGCCAAGCGCCTGTGAGTGCGGCGTATCGCGTATCGCGTAAAGCGCGAGGCTCCCTACGCACTTCGAAGTTATCGCAGACGTACGGAGCACTGAGCGATGATCTCCGGTTGAAAAGGCTCATTGGGCGTGGCAGAACGATTCGGAATGGAGTTCTTTGACGCTGGGTGGTCGCATCGACGCGTCTTCGCACTCTTGACAGCTCAACCGTGCGCCGCCCTCTCCATATGAGCTCTGTGATATTCATGCGTGGGCGTAAGCGATTGCAAAGGAGTCGTAGGTAGATTAAGGTTCCGTCGATGTTCATTGTTCAAGTGCAAGTCAAGCTGGAGTGCACCGACACTCCGTGGGACATTCGGAAATTGCCGCACTGGTTGGGAACTCTGAAGCTAACTTAATTTATTGGGAATTTTCCATGACGCTCGGTTGCGGGGGCTGCACGGCGAGACACGCAAGACAGTAATCACAGACGTAGCGGCGCTGAGCTAGCATGGAGACCTGAGTACTGAGCGCGATAACATAATTGATGACTTGGATCATAGTAACTACACCGGATGCGCATATGTACGTGAACCTTTTTCATCCTATCTCAATCTTCCTCTCGTAGTCGCGATTGCGCATAGATCTCTTCACGGTTCCGCGTAAGAGCAGGCTTCCACTGCGAGGGCCATTCGGATCCTTCAACTTTATGCGCTTGAGAGCAGGCATAAACGCGTATCCTCTGTGGTCGGCCATCGGGTCGATGAGAGCGTCGCACAAAGCCATGAGGTGCGAGGGCGGCACCTCTACGACTTCGATATTGGCGCACCAGTCGTAGGCCTCGCGTAGCTCAGAGCTCCGTACGGGTTCCCCGTCACGGAGATACGGACCAAGCGCGAGCGTGCGTATACCGTCCATCGTTGCTCCCAATCCGAGAGCCGCCCACACTGCGTCCATCGCGTTTTTCAAAAGGCTCTTCGTGATGTCGATACTCCGTTGACCGTCGATGGTCCAGGACTCCATACGTCCAAATCGTAGTACAAAGGAGGGTGCCGCATTGCCAATGTCGAAACCCGCCTCGACGTGAGAGCGGGTGTCTACGAATGTAGTCCAGGCGAAACGATTGTCGCCGCGCATTCCCAGGCCATTCGTTAAGACGGGAAGAGCGCTGTCGAAGCCGCCTTCACTAATCGCGCAAGTGTCGAGATCGGCATGAAGATATATGACGGCGGCGCGACAGTGGAATACGAGAGCGCTCAGGATGGCGAGCATCACTCGGACATCCCCACTCAGACGAAGACGCCGCAAGTGAAGAAGCTCAATTGGGAGTATTGCGCGGTCCTGGTCCTGCATGGCTTTGATGTAGCAATCGCCGATGCTGAGTTCTTCCAAGAGAAGGCACCCTCGGATGCACTGGAAGAGGCCCGTGAGCTGAGATGCATCGCGACGAGCGGGTATCCCGCCGAGCACGAGGCTCCGGAGTTGAGGAGCATTGATCGCTCGCAACGAGACCACATCCGACCCGTTCAGGATAGAAAGAGAGCGAAGGCTGGGCGCGCTGTGCAAGAACGAGTGCTGATGCAGGAGTTCGTACACGTTTTGGTATCCACCGTAGGGATAAACATAGACTTCCTCGAGTTGGGGTATTGGGGGAAACCTATCGGTGGCTAGTACCTTGCGAAGAACATCCTGGATGGCTTCTATCGGCGTAACGGCGCCCCACGAGCCTTGCGTCTGCACTAAGGCCTTGATGCGCGCAGCATTGTCTCTGAGAAGACCGATTTTGCAGAACAACGCCACTGGAGTGAACAAGATGCGCAGAGGCAACCCATTCGAACGCTCCAGGAAGCAAGAAATCATCTCCTGGGACGCTTCCAGCGGTACTGTAGTCCAAAGTAGAGAGTCGGCGAGGGCGGCGGCGCGCCACTGACGAGAGACGTGGGAGACGCTCTGCCAGTGCAGTGCCCGCGAAAGTGGTGAAGTAGCCGTCGAGTCGCGGAGGCATCTAAAAATTTCGACGAGGACCTCGGGAGGGGTTTTGGATATCGACTTAGTGCATGGCGTGACACAGCGCGGTAGGGGGCTCGGGCTTCGTGAACGGGGAGTTACCCGCCGCGCACGATGCTTTGCATCATTAGCGCGCGGATCCTTATCGTGCTCTTGCTTGCGAGCCAAGCGCAGAAATCGCCCCGCCATGAGCTCCAGATGACTGGTACGAACGATTGACCTGGAGGTCGTTTGAGGGAGAGGTGGCGAAGTCGAGTTTTGCGGGGTTATATCCACATTATATACCTCAGGAGGATGACGGCGTTTGTTGTCACACCAAACCACACACCAAACCACCTGTCACGGGGCCACACAGTGTTGGGCGACGCATGGAAATAAAGGTCAGAGCCCAGGCTGTACAAAATCAGAGGTCATTCGGCACCTAAGCTCGCGTATACATGGCATTGTTTGACAAGGACTGACTAACAGACGTCGAAATTGAGGATAGAGATGCGACGAAGGATACCAACGAGCTAGTACGAGTTGCTTCCCGGCAGCCTTAGGAGCGGAGATGTTCTGGATGATGCATCCGCGGTCTTCCGGGTAGGAGTTCGCCTTACGCGCTTACACGGAAATTCAGGTATCTGACTAGACCCGCAAATCAGCGTAATCCGGAAGGTAATATGTGCGTACGCACCTTTCCTACTTCACGTCCACTGGCGCATCCTGGGATCACGCCATTCCAGTTTCCCATTTCCATCTAATGTAGCTGCGATCTCCGTCGTCAGGTGCGGACTCTGGTATTGCCCTGTTGCCGCGAGGACATATTCATGCCGCATGATCAATGCGAGAGGCGAATCGAACGAAGAAAGTGCCCTGATTCACGGGCGACATCGAGTCGGGAGGTCTAGAATGGTAGCGTTGTGCATGCGCAGATATTTTGCAGACTGCTGAAGCCGAGTGTGCCAAGTGTGGCGGGCGAGATGATGAAGAGGTAGGAGCCAGAGCCTGGGAATCGCTTCGCTCGCGTTGCGCGTACCCACGGGTAGCGTGGCCAACTGTGCGAATGGCGCCACAGCCGACGGAGCGACGTATCCGTTGCACCTTTTTGTGCCCGGGCTTCCCATGTTATACTGACCAAAGCTTCGGTCTTGTTGCGACAGAAACTCTTACTCGATAATATTCACATAATGCCATCATAGCCGTACAAAACAGGGTATATATCACCTCAAACTTCTACTTGTGTTCAGATTCCTTCAATTCGTCCTCAAATTGATCAAGGACCAACGAGACAGCACCCTCCGACCACTCTTCAGGCTTCTTCACGCCCCTGCGCCATACCAGATCGACAGACACAGGCTTCTCGCGATCACCTTGGAACTCCCGTACAAGGCGGGACTGAGTAGCCGCACCAAAGGTCGGCCTGTCGTTGGTGTCGAACACCCTTACACGCTGGAGAGCAGGCAGAAAGACATGTCCATCGAGTCGTATGAAGAGCGTATCGCATAGCCCTGCTGTCCAGTCGTCAATGGTCACTTCCAAGACTTCGACCTCAGTACACCACCCGTAGAACCTGCGCACGGCCTCTGTCCAGATACGTCCATGATGACATTCGAATGAAAGTGTGCGTACTCCTGCCAGCTGGAGGGCCATGGACGTGTATAGCACGGTCGCCTGCCTGGCGGTATGGATGCCACGAAGACAGTCGTTTTCGAGTTCACGGGGATCGCTTCCGAGGTGCGCGTCTGGGCCCTGTAAAGGGCTCACGGTTTGTGGTGTTCGTATGATTACGCTGGGTGTCGCCCTGTCGGTATCAAAGCCCGTTTGCAAGCATGATCGACTGATATAGAGCCAACGATGGGAGTTCTCGGCGCGGGATCCGAGACCAGAAGGAAGGGCCAAACGAGAGTGGTCATAAACATAGCGACCTCCGATATTTAGGTGCTCTGTAACGTCCAACTCGACGATGGTCTTGAGCGGGTCGAACACTAGAGGTCGCAATATGAATAAGATCCATTCGTGATTCCCAGCGAGGTGGAGGCGGCGCAGGTGTCTGAGCTCTATAGGCTGAGACTCGGCGGCAGGGTATTCCCAGCGCAACGGGCCCACAAACGTGATTCCGCGGACGCTGATATCTTCGAGGAGCGGGCTCGCCTGAATACATCGGAGTAGATCTTGATAAGCCTTCGCCGCGGGGTCTTTGTGCCATCCGTCAAGAGCCAAGTGGCGAAGCTGAGGAGCTCTGATCCGCCCCAGAACATGGGGCCAGTACACGACAACCGCCAGGCTACGCAGGGCGGCGGCATGTCGTAACAAGGGGCCAAAGTCATAGTTGGAGGTATCGGAGTAGACGCTGAGCTCTTGAAGCTCTGGCATGGAGATGCCACCCTCTTCGACGAGAAGACATGCCACCGCCATCGTATCACGGAGAGGGCTCCCATTACGCCCGATCTGGGTGACAGCCATGACGCGCGAGGCTTGTTCGCGCAAGAGCAATACGCGTTCCGGCAGATCCCTGGCTTCGGAAGAGACATAGATTCGCAGTTGGAGGCCCTCGGAACGCTCGAAGTGTAGACGTATAATCTCGGGGTGCGAGTCCAGCGGCACATTGGTCCAGAGAAAAGGGTCGTTGACAGCGATCATCGACCATCTGGGGGATACGTGGGCGACGTTCATCCACTTGAGGCATAGCTGCGGATCATATTTCACGGTCTCGGATGGGGCGGGGAACGCTGCATCCCGTACGTCCTTGAATATACGGGCGAGAATCTCCGGAGGAAGACTGGAGATATCTGCATGAGGAGCGTCGTAGGCGTCGTGAACAGAGTCGGCGGCGTCATCGGATTGTTGTCGCAGAAGAGAGGATTGCCGAGAGAACGAGGCGAGGAGACTGGGGGAGTCAGGCTCTACATCTACGTGTGTGGGCTGGTGCCATGTAGGTGGGCTATCGGGGACAGTTGAATTCGCCAGGGTCGGGGACGGTCTCCCAAGGGCATGGATGAGCTTCTGTACGAGTTTGCGTGAGCGGAGCGGCGGTGTCATTGAAGAGCGAGTTCAAGCAAAGCCGAGATTGTGATATGTGATGTGAGGATATTGATATCGTTCGTGAACCTCCAGGCGTATATAACCATAGTCGAACAAAAGCGACAACTGAACTCACTTTACGCGCACGAGGACCCATCGCGGGTATCGGTGAATGTCCTGCGCCGACCGAGACAGCCCTCCAATTCCGGCAGAGTATCGTATTGTCGTTAGTCACGGTGTAGTTATTCTCTAGTCAGTGCATTGACCTGAGGGTCGAGGTACCATGGGCTTGAGGGCCGGAAGTACCTGTATCGACGTTGTGGACATCGCAAAGCAGGCAGCCACTATTGTAACGTACTCCCGTTTGGAATGCGTTCATTTGTACCCGAGGACTATGTCCGAGGCGCCGACGTCGACAAGAACTGGAGGGGCCATCGTGGTCCGGGTCAAAGCTCGAGTGGCGTGCGGACGAATTTACGTTGATCTAGTCGAGATGATCGCGTACCTACCTGCTAGTCCCCACTGGCAAATCGGGCGGGCTTATTCGCCTTACAGTTCGCCCTCGGGTGAACGGTTCAGATAAACAGGAATATCAAATCTCTAAGCAAAACAGAACTACTGCAACGAACGGAACTGCGAATAGCCAGAACAGCAACTCAAGAAACCTGCTACGAGATGAACTATGCACAAGAAACCAACTACGTGAGCCCAGAAGCAGACGTCCGCAGCCGTTACACCACTATGTACACCTCCCTCACACTCTACAATATGGAAACTCGTACAACCGAAGCCTATGCTGAGCGCGCCTGCCCATCGTCCATCCCGCCCTGCCCCGGACCCTACTCTCCATTGACCATCAACCGCACGACGGCGTCCGCCATCTGCTGCACCTGGTTCTGCGCCTGTTGCGGCGACTGCGGTTGACCGTGCTGGGGCTGCATCTGTCGCCTAGGCGCCGCGCTCGCCTGCGCGTAGCTCACACCGCGTCCCCAAGCCTCTCCGCCTCCACCCCCGCCCCCGAACAGTTCGAAAGCGTTCGCGCTCTCAAAGGCGGGAAAAAGCTGGTTTGTAGGTGTTGTTGTTGGGATGAGGGAACGGAACGTTAGGGTGGAGGTGGACGGAGTGTTGTGCTTGTTTATTCGCTTCGCTCGCGTTGCGCGTACCCACGGGTAGCGCGTGGCTAATCGTGCGAATAGCGCCACAGCCGACGAAGCTTTCGGAGAGTACTTACCCGTCACATCTTAGGCTTTCTGGCCATGCCAGATCTCCGTCGAGTCCGAGCCCAAGCAGTCATACATACTTCAAGTTAGCGGCGATGCTCCCGCACTCTTCCCTTACCCCTTCGCCGCCGTCGCTATCATCCCGCGCCCGAGGCTGCCTATACAGCGTGGGGTGCGACAACAATAGTATCCAAACCAGCGACAAGCGCTTAAGCAGGGGTGGACTCAATGAAGCGCTGATCGACTCGGCCCCGTCTTCCCGAAAACATCTCCATTCCTCAAGATCTGACAAGCACAGGTCACAGACTCGAAAGGGCGTTATCATCAGAAGCAACTCTTATCCGTGCATGATACGTATAGAGTAGGCCCGGGCTGCCCGATGTCATACTTACCAAAGCTTCGGTCTTGTTGCGACGGAGATCGTAACTCAATGATTATCACATAATGCCATCATAGCCGTACAGCATAGGGTATATATCGTATCAAACTCCTACTTGTGTCCAGGTTTCTTCAACTTCCACTTGTCTTCAAGTGACGAAGGATGAACGAGATCATATTCTCCGCCCTATCACTAGACTCCTTCACGTCCCTGCGCCATACCACATCGATTGCCACAGGCTCCTTGCGATCGCCTTGGAACTTCTGTACAAGGCGGGACTGAGTAGCCGCGCCAAAGGCCGGTCTGTCGCTCGAGTCGAATACCCTCACACGCTTGAGAGCAGGCAGAAAGAGATGTCCGCCTTGTCGCATGAAGAGTCGTTCGGAGATGGGGCCTATCCAGTCGATAAGAGCCACCTCCAAGACTTCGACCTCGGTACACCATTCGTAGAGCTCCCATGCGATAAGTGCACTATGGCGATCGAATGAAAGCGTGCGTACTCCCGCCAGCTTGAGGGCCTCGCAAGTGTACGGCGCAGGTACACACGCGAATTGATGAACACCACGAAAAAGGTCGACTTCAAGGTGCCCGTCGCGTGCGTAAAGGGATGGCCGTATAACGACACTGGGTGTCGTCTTGTCGGTATCGAAGCCCGCCTGCATGCTCGTCTGACTGACATGGAGCCAACGACGGGAGTTCTCAGGCTCGGCGCGAGATCGTCCAAGACCGTAAGGGAGGGCCAGAAGAGTGTGATTATTGACACGGCCTTCGTCGCTTCTGCCCTTGAACCTTTCGACGTCCAATTCGACGATGGTCTTGTGCGGGTCGAACACGAAAAGTCGCAATACCGTTAAGATCCCTTCATGCTGCCCAGAGAGGTGGAGGCGGCGCAGGTGCTTGCACTCGACTGGCTGGGTGTCGGCGTCAAAGGCCAAGTACTCGCGCTGGATTCCGGCAATGGTGATCTCTTCGAGGAGCGGGTTCGCCTGAATAAATTGGAGCAGAGCCCCATAAGCCTCCGGCGGGTCTTCCGCCCATCCGGCAAGAGCCAAGCGACGAAGCTGAGGAGCTCTGATCTGACCCAAGGCCTTGTCCCAGCTACTATCGATCACGGCCAGGCTGCGCAGGGTCGCGGCGTATCGTAACAAGACGCCAGTAGGGTAATACTCAGGAGCATCAGAGTAGACGCTGAGCTCTTCGAGCTCTGGCACGGCAAAGCCACGCGAGTCCTCTTCGACGAGATGACACGCCACTGGCGAAGGTCGATGGAAACGTTGGCTACGCCCGATCTGGATGACGGCCATGACGCGCGAGGCCTGTTGGCGCAAGAGCGATGCGCGCTCCTGCTGATCCGCGGCTTCGCCAGAGAGATAGATGCGCAGCTTGAGGCCCTTGGAACGCTCGAAGTGTCGACGTATGATCTCGGGAGGTGCGTCCAGCGGCACGTTGGTCCAGAGAGAAGGGTCGATGAAAGCGATCGTCGACCACTTGACGGATACGGCAACGACGTTCGTCCACGCAAGGCATTGCTTCGGGTCGTAGTGCAAGGCCTCAGCTGGGGCGGGGAATGCTCCGTCCCGTACGATCTTGAATATCATGGCGAGAATCTCCGGAGGAAGATCGGAAATGTCTGCGCGAGGAGCCTGAGGGGCATCGGGCTCGGGGCCAACGACGTCAACGGTGTCATCGGATTGGTTTCGCAGATGAGAGAATAGCTGAGAGAAGGAGGCGAGGAGACTGGGCGAGTCTGGCTCTGGCTCTGGCTCTACGTGCGGGACCTGGTGCCATGTAGGTGGGCTGTCGGGCACAGTCGGATTCGGCGGCAGGATCGGAGACGGTTTCCCAAGGGCACGGAGGACCTTCTGTACGAGTTTGCGTTCGCGGAGCGGCGGCGACATTGAAGAGTGAGTTGAAGCAAAGCCGGGGTTGTGATATGTGATGTGAGGATATTGATATCGTTTGTGAACCTCCAGGCGTATATAACCATAGGCGAACAAAAGCGACAACTGAACTCCGTTTACGTGCACGAAGACCCGTCGCGGAATATCGGTGAATGTCCTGCGCCGACCGAGACAGCCCTCCAATTCCGGCAGAGTATTGTCGTTAGTCATGGCGTAGTTGTTCTCAAGTCAGTGCATTGACCTGAGGACCGAGGTACCATGGGCTTGAGGGCCGGAAGTACCTGTATCGACGTTAATGAATACATCAAAGCAGGCAGCCTGTATTGTAACGCACTCCCGTTTCAAATGCGTTCATTTGTACCCGAGGATTATCTCCGAGGGTGACAACGGCCAGGCTCACAAAGGTAGCTTGTTACGCCGGATAGACACATGATAGAGTCGGAGACCGGAAGTCGGTCAGTCGGGAACTGGTGTTACGCAGACAGGTCATCGTGGTCCGGGTCAAAGCGCGGGTGGCGCGCGCGCACACGACGTGATGTTGATCTAGTCGAGATGATCGCGTACCCGCCCGCCAGACCGGGTATCGACCTTGCAGTACACTCTCGAGTGGTAAACAGAGACATCATATATGCAAGCAACAGACAAACTACTACAAATAACCAGAACGACAGCTGTCAACTACCGATCAACGACTCAAGAAACCTGCCACGAGATAAACTAGGTACAAGAAGAGCGACTACGCAAGCCTAGAACCGAAATTCCAATGCCGTATACCACTATGTACATCCCCTCACACTCTACAACACGAAAACTCAGTGCAACCGCGAGGACGGAAGTACAGGGAAGTACCTGTGTCAATATGAATGTATATTCCAAGGCGGGCAGTCTCTATTATGACGTACTACATCATATGCGTCCATATGCATCCGATGAATATCTTCGAGGTTGAAAATGGCCAATCCTACAAGAATAGGATGCGGCGCGCCGGGAGGACGCAGGATGGAGTCGAAGGCCGAGGCCGAGGCCGGAAGGAGGTCAGTCAACGCCAATCATCACCCGCAGGTTGTTTGTCGTATTAGTATAGTCTCTGTCCATACTCGACGGGCATAGCCAGCGTCATAGTTGACAAGTACTGGTGTTACACGGACAGGTCATCGTAGCCCGGGCCAAAGCTCGAGTGGCGCGCGAACGAATGCTTCCGCGCGCCCTTCGGCGATTGCCGCAACGGTCGCGCCCTCCGCGGCCACATGCAGCTCGCTGCCGTCGCAACGCTGCAGCGAGCCAGTCGCTTCAGACAGGTGGGGCGTGCAGCGCCTTTTGAACGATTGATCTGGTCGGGATGATCGCGTACTCACCCGCCAGACCGTACTGGTCCTATCCTTTTTTCAACTCAACAATATTTATAGAGCGCGTACCGGTCCTATCACCAACCTCACAATACACTCTCGAGCCACCAAGTCGGATAAACAGAGACCATCAAATATGCAAGCAAAAAACAGAACTACTGCAACGGACTGTAACACAACTGCAAATAACCAGAACAACAGCTACCGGTACTGATCAACGACTCAAGAAACCTGCTACGAGATATAAAACTATGCACAAGAAAACAACTACGTACGCGAGCCCAGAACCGAACGTCCGCCGCCGTATACCACTATGTACACCCCCTCACTCTACAACATCAAGCTCAGAGTACAATCACAACTCAACGATCCGCAAGCTACCGCGCCTGCCCATCGTCCACCCCGCCCTGCGCCTGCCCCGGCTCCGAGTCGCCATTGATCATCAACCGCGCGACGGCGTCCGCCATCTGCTGCATCTGGCTCTGCGCCTGTTGCGGCGACTGCGGTTGACCGCCGTGCGGAGGCTGCATCTGTGGCCTGGGCGCCGCGCTCGCTTGCGCGTAGCTCACACCGCGTCCCCAGGCCCCTCCTCCTCCCCCACCGCCCCCACCTCCACCTCCTACAATCACACCTCCTCTTTGAGCTCCCAGAGGCGGAAACTCGCCCGGCCCGTTCGATAGCGTTCGCGCTCCTAAGGGCGGAAAGTCGCTAGGTTGCAGTTGTTGTTGTTGATGCTGAGATGCGGGGCCGGAGCGCTGAGGAGGTGGTGGATGGAGCGTTGGGCTCGGTTTGAGGCCGACTGCCCAGTCCGGCCGGGGCGGGAGCGGGTGTTGTTGGGATGAGGCCGTCGAGGTGTATGTCCTGCGCGAGGACGAGGACGTCGAGCTCTATAACACAACCCATAACACGCATCAGTACTCGTTTGGTAAATGTGGAAGAAAGGTGGAAAGACGCACGGTGACACTCGCAACATCATCGTTCGGCGTCCTCCCCCCGCTCACCGACGACGCACTACTACTGCTCTTCCGACTGCTCAACCGCGGCCCAACAGCCATATCGCCCACGCCCGGCCCAAAACTCCATCCCC